CCCCAAAACCCCAAAACCCCGCAAGTCTAAAATTAAAAGTAATAGCAAGTTATTTAAAAGCCAGATTCAATAATTTAATTAAAATTTCTGCAAACATAACTGAAAATTATTTAACTAACAATTAACTGATGTTTAAAAGCAATATGATTAAAGTAATATCAACGAATCAATATCCTGGAATAAGTTTAAAGCCCATACAATATAAGATAAATCTTTGGAAATCACTTCCCTCACTTAATAAAATTTTAGGTAATTCTCCATCTTGCTCCTTTATTTGAGAGCTAAGGTTCTAAGTTATTTCCTCATCTAAAGTGATTGACTATGCTATCTTGATATAAGTATCTTATTTTTTGTAGAAAAGTTAATCTTATTATTTTTAATCTTAATCATTAACTCTTACAATAACTGTATTTGTTCTAATTTCAGAATTATAATCTGCTGTTGAATTGAGATTATAGTTTGTTGAGCATTAAGTTGTTAAATTATAACTTTCTGTAGAATCAGCTCTGATATCCTCTTTAAGAAATCTATATTGAAATATAGTATCTCTACTATCACTTCTTTCTATTAGTTCTAGTCTAAAGTTAGAATCATTGGTTTCTCTAAGTTTTGATTGAAAGTAAAATAGATAAACCAAAGTTGAACCTTGCAGGAAAAACATTGTAGATTAGAATGAAAACTTATAAACTACATTGTAGTCATGCAACCAATGATAGCTTTTTTAGACAAGTAATGGGGTAAATATCATCTTAATTACCAAATCAACAAACTATGAAAAGCATAGAAAGAATACCCAAAACACTAATAGTTTGAATTTAGTTTTGATTTATTCGTTCCTATTATCAGCTCTGTTTATCCTTTTGCTTACAATGAATTTGAAATTCATCACAATCATAACTAAAAGGACCAAATCGAAAATAAATCTCATATAGCTTGTTGAGATAAGGGTAATCTTGTATGAATGAGTTTAAAGTTATGTAGCTTTTCTTTCTTCTTCATCTAATATCTAAAAGATAAAGTTTATGCTTAGTAGCATGAAAATATGGCCTAAGACAATATTTCTGAGCTAGTAATTTCTCTATCTAGAGGCTTTGAATTCATCCAGATCAGTACATTCGTATTTATGTTTTACTAATCTCATTTCGAAGCAGAAATGTATAACGACAGTATTAAACCAAAAGTTTTTAATTTGATTAAGAGCTGTGAACAATTCATTCAGTGACTCCATTTTTTCAGGTTTTTTATTGTCAAATATTTCAGTATATTTGCTACCCCATTCATGACTATGAACTCCCATTATAAATAAGAAAATGTAAATAGTGAAGTAAACTGATCTGTCCATCTTTGACTTAAATCTACTAATAAGCAGTATGGAAAAACATAAAAATGTTAGAAATTCCAAAGAATTCAAAATCAAAAGCGGAAAGTAAAGTTCTTTTAAAGTCATTAATATTAAATTATATTAAAATCATTCCTATTATATAATTATTTCCTAAAACATATCCTTTTATTATAATAAATAAATTATAATTTTTGTAAATTATATCTAATTATCGTAATAATACTTATAATGAACTCTGGGGTTTTGGGGTTTTGGGG